GGGGTGCTCCGCGGGGAAGGAAATGTGGCTGCGGGAAGGAGAGTCAGTGTTTTCTTACACATCTTTCTGGATTTGTTTAACCTTGTAAAAACATGAAGATACAACCTTGACTTGAAATAAAATTTTTAATTTTAAAACTCATATGCCAATGAGAAGCATTAAGGAAGACTATGCACAGTGTACTGTTACCAAATGAATAGCATCAAGATGATCAACCCCGCGGGATGCCCAGACGTGTCTGGGACAACACGTCTGGCTCGTCTTTAGTATTCGAGGAACTTCAGCGTGCCTGGAAAAACAACAGCCTACTTGAGATGTCACTTTGAAAATGTCTGATTTTAGAAATTAAAAAGGAAATAAAGAAAACCCTGTTTTGCCCAAAATAATCTGTGTAATCAATTTGTAAAATGTTATACACACGAAAAAGTTTAATGCTTGTCTTGGTTTTCAAATGTCGAATGTTGTGGTGCTTATACAATTTAAGGGGAAAGGCATTCTGACACACTGAGATTCTCTGGCTGCTTTTCTACTTGGGCAAAAACTTTTACGACGTGCATCTTGGACTTTTTGCAGCCACAACTCAGCAACTGAGAACTCAGCTGTGTGCTATTTCTTCCAGGAGCTTAGTTGTTTCTTAACAGAGAAGGAAAAAGCCTTCCCATGATCACTAGCCCTATGGGAGGCACATATACCTACTGGGCCGTATCAAATAGAAGTAACCACTCAGCACTTTAAAAGTGTTCTCTGCTCAAGCCCTCTGGTAAATGAGTACATTTCAGTTGAGAAGCATTAATGGAGACTCTATCTAATCCACTTGTGACTAAAGGTCACAAGTCATCCTGGTAGACAGCGTAATCATCTGAAACCCTGTCCCAGTCAGAATCTTAGATAAGACTGACTGAAGGGCATGGAGTCCTTTGCAACAGGATCTCCGCAAGCCCTCCACCATTTGAGAGATCAGAAGTGCACCAAATTTGCAACCTCTTGCCCATATATGCCCAGCTACAACCGCCACATGTCCCTTGTGCAGAGGCTAGTATTCCTGTCTAGAACACCTCAGACTGCTGACTCCACCTACAAAAACTCTTATTCATCCTCTAAATCCGTTCAAGAACCACATTCCTTGTGAAGATTCTTTCTAACAGGTAATTACTGCCTCCTCCTTCCTATATCCAAATGTGGTACACATTTCCATTACTGCACTGTAATCTACTTCTTTTTCAAGTGAATCTTCTAAACTAGACCATAAACTGCTTGAGGAAAAGGAAAGTGTACATTCTCTTTACCTTTGCATTTCCAGAACCCTTAACAGTGACCGGCACACAGCAACTTCCAATAAATGTTTTCTGAACTGAACTGTTCCGTTGAAGAAGTGAAGTTGCGAGGCTGAAGTCTATGAGAAAACCCAGACGACAGAACCAAAGGCAAAGATACTTGATGACCCAAGCAGAAATTCTCCCTCCAGGACTCTGGGAAGTTGGCTCGGCCCACTGTGACAGGCCGAGCTGGCCTGGAGGTGCTGAGAACTGTGGCTGGCTGCAGGAGAGCGCTCTGCTCACGCGCTGCGCCAGTTACCCAGGTGATGTGAACTCTGGAGATGAGGTAAGCCCCCCAAACAGTGCCCGGCACATTAATTAAACTAATGGCAGTTACAGGAAAGTGTAATCCTCACTGTAAATTATTTAACTGGCTTTCAAATGTTGTCCCTCAAGGCCTGAGGGGCTACGATCAGCTTTCTCCTAACGTAAAACTCTATGACAGGTTGCCGTTTCAGACCCAGAGAATTGGGAATTCACATAAAGAAAGCAATCCTTCTCAACTACGTTAAACACTTTCCAACATCCTAGCATTAAAGGTACTTAATGAGCTTAGCTTGGGGCCACCTAGAGTGCTCAATGTTTCACTACCCCAGGTTTGCGTGCATAAATGCACATCCATCAGCTGCCTCAAACAAAATCCTAAACATAACACCCTATCCTTAAGCAGACATCAAACGCAGGAAGTCACTGCCTGAGGGCTTAAGATAGCCATGAAACTGGGGACCAGTAGCAAAACCCAAAACTGAATGGCTAGTCATCCTTGTCACTGAAAACTTCGCCACTTCTATATTCCTCGTTTCATTTCACCATAAGCATTGTTTAATTAAACAACACACAAGTCGATTTCTCCTTTGGTTTTGCATGGTGTCCAAACTCTATGCAAAGTCTAACCCCCTCATTTTGTAAGATGAATGAGAAAGGATATTTGGCGGCTGATTGAATTCCCACCCGCTTTTCAAAAATGCCCTCAGTATCCCCTAGCATCGGAAACAGCTTCAGGCTCCCAACGCCAGAGACTCAAAAGATGTGTTTACTTTCGGCCGGGAGTAATCTACAAGAGTTTCCGGCACGAGAGCATTTGCGCCAAGTCTTGAAGGGAGTATCGGACAGCTGCTGGGCCTCCAGGCTGCCGGCAGCGAGAAAGGACACCGCGAGCAGGGGGCAGCCCCGCACCCGGCCCCGGCCGGGCCTGTTGCCGTTCCGTCTCCAAGCCTACTCGCCCCAGTGGGCTAGGCTGGGGGGCGCCCTCCAGGTATCACCTCGCAACCCAGACCCAAGGAGAAGCGAGGGGCCGCGCGGGCCCCGCCCGCCCCCTCGGACGCAGGCCCAAGACCGGGCGCACGAAGGCCACGTCCCCGGGGACAGCGGCCCAACTCTATGGTCCGCGCGCAGGCCCGACGACCCACGTGACTTGCGG